ACCGCTGCGGGGCCGCGCAAGGCGGCTCAGCCGCTCGGTGACATATGTCTATGAAATCTGAGGGCTACCCTGCACCACACACACGCATGCATGCTGCATCACACACGCATGCCTCGCCACACCTGCATGCGCTCGCTGGCATGCATGCGCCGCCACACGCGCACCCCTGCGCCGCATCCGCCTGCCTGCCGCCACGACAGGCCGGCGGCGCGGCTCCGCTGCCGTGCGCTGCAACCCCAGCATGTTCTTTCTTTTTTTCAGTGGACGCCTGTGGCCCGGGCCTTGTGGCTGCGTGCCCTGCTGACTGACACTTGATAAATCCACTGCACACAACTGCCCCCGCCTGCCCCACCCGACCCGCCCGGCACTGCCAACACCTGTGGCCTGCCTCCTGGCTGTGCCCTGGCTCCGCCTGCCCACCCACTCGCCTGCCCTCCCCACACCCGCCGCCGCCCGCGCCCTGGGATGCAGGCCGGCGACGTGGGCGCCGTGCTCGCGCTGCGCCTGCTGCCGCCGCTGGCGGCGGCCGCGGCGGCCTGCGCGGCGCTGGGCCGGCTGGGGTGGCCGGCGGCGCGGACTCTGGCCCTCGTCGGGCCGCTGCTGGTGTGCGGCGTGGCGCCCGCGCCGCCGCAGGTGCGCCGGCGGCCGGCCAAGGCGGCGGGCAGTCCGGGCAGGCGGCGCCGTGTCGGGGTGCCAAGCCCCCTGCCTGCGCTGTGTCAGCCAGCCAGCCAGCCAGCCAGCTAGCTTTGCTGCCGTCGCTGCTGCTGCCGCTGCCGCTGCTGCTGCTGTTGTTGGTGAGGCCAAGTGTGCTCGCCGCCCTGCCGCCTGCAGGTTCTGGCCTATGCCCACCGCTTCCGCCTGAACGAGAGCCTGGCTGCCGCCATCACGCATGCCACAATGGCGGCGGGGCTGGCGCTGATGCCGCTGCTGGCGGTAGCAGCTAGCGTGTCGGCAGCCGCAGGCAGCCTGCTGCCGTTCCAGGTCGCCCTGGGCGGCGCCGCCTGCGGCGTGGCCGCGGCGGCGGCGGCCGGCGCGGCCCGGGCCCGGCGGCAGCAGCACCAGCGCAAGGTGCTCATGCGCTACTCGCCTGCCGCCGCGGCGCCGGCGCCCTCGGCGGCGGCGGCGCCTGCCGGAGGTGCGGCCGCGGCCGCGCCGGCGGCGCCTGGCGCGGGAGCGGCCCCGGCGGCAGGCTCCAACGGCGGCAGCGCCAGCAGCAGCGAAGGCGCTCAGGCGGATGCTGCAGAGCCGCGGGAGCGGCAGCCCCGGCGGTCGGCCTTTTCCGACGTCCCTCCAGAGCAGCAGCCGCCGCCGCAGGCGCCCCAGGCGCTGGGCGGCTGGGTGGCGAATTCGGGGAGGGGCAGGGGGTTACGGTGGCGGCAGGCGCGGGGGCGGGGCCCCCGGGTGCTGCTCCCTGGCAGGCCGCGCGCCGCTGCCATGCTGCGGGCGCCGTTCTGAGGCTACCTGCACTTTATGTTTCCCATGTGAACTGGAAACCTCGACAAGTAATAACACACTGGATGAGACGGGAGCACGATGGCCCTCGCACACAGGTGCATGTGGTATCGTCTTCGCCCGGCTGGCGCTTGGCGGCGGGGGGGGGGCTGAGATGAAGGGCCGTCATCAGATGGCGGCGATGAACTCCACGCATTGGCATCGTCGCTCGGCTTTCTTATAGGTAGTCTCGCGATCTATTTCCTGCTCCTCTGCGTCACCCTTTAGGAGTAGAGCCGCCATGGCGGGACAGGCAGCAGAGCAGCAACAACAACAGCAGCAGCAGCAGCCACAGCAGCCGCAGACGCCCCAGGAGCCGCAGGAGGTGGCAGAGCGGCCGCCGTGGCTGGGCACCACCGCGGAGCACTGCCGGGAGATGGTGGATAGAGCCACGAGCCGAAATCCGACGGTCAAATTCATGATACAGAAGATGGAGGAGGTGGGCGCGCCGCTCCTGAGCGAGCCTGACTAACCGCCGCTGCCGCCGCATGCTGGCGCACGCCGCCTGCCTGCCTGCGCTGCCACGCGAGCCGTGCGCAAGACCGCCGTGCTCCTGCACCCCCCGGCCTGCAGTCGGGCTGCGCTGTGGGCAAGGACTTCATCCAGATAGAAAAGTGCGAGGCGGAGGTGGGGGGCGGCTTCCGCCCGCCAGACGGCGTCGTCATCTGCCACAACCACTTGGCCTCCCAGGTGGGCTGGTCCCCCGGCCGGCTGCTCAGCTGCGCCGCGCAGCGCGTGCATGCCTGCCACATGCATGGGGCATGGCGCTGCTGCTGCCAGCCGCCGCGGCTGCCTGGCCGCACCGCCGGACACGCCGCCCCTCCCCGGCCATCCGAGTAGGCGGTCAGCGTTGTGCCGCCTTTGCTTGGCTGCTCAACCACTCAAGCTTTTGGTTCTTCAAGCCTGAAACGATCTTTTCTTTTTTCCTTATTTTTTTTCTTCTTTTTTTCTTCTTTTCCAGGAGGAGATCAACCACGCGCTGACCCACGAGCTGGTGCACGCCTACGACCACTGCCGCGCCTGCAACCTGGACTGGACCGACTGCCAGCACCACGCGTGCAGCGAGATACGCGCCGCCGCGCTGTCGGGTGCGCGCGCCTGCGGCGTGCGCGGTGTGCGCGGTGTGCGCAGTGTGTGCGGTGTGGTGTGCGGTGTGTGTGGTGTGCGCGTGATGCGTGCGCACGCGCGTCCGGCGTGCTTGCACAGCCTGGCCGTGTCGACAGCGCTGGGGGCTGGAGGCTGCCGGACCGGACGCTACCCCCCTGCCTGCCCCCGACCCCCCGCCCTCCACCCCTGCAGGCGACTGCAACTTCAAGCAGGAGGTGCTGCGCGGCAACCTGGCGGTGCGCGGCCAGTTCCAGAAGTGCGTGCGGCGGCGCGCGGAGCTGTCGGTGGGCATGAACCCGTACTGCGAGGGCGCGCGGTCGGCGGCGGCGGTGGACGCCGTGTTCGAGGGCTGCTTCGCAGACACGGCGCCCTTTGACCGCATACCATAGGCAGCACAGCCGCCTTGGGCTGGAGGCCTAAGCACAGTTGCTGGAGGCCTAAGCACAGTTGCTTTGCGTAAGCCTTGGTAGCTGCTTTGGCACAGCTGCTTTGGGCTAAGCCTTGGCTGCGGCAGCGCCTGGTGCCGACACACATCACACTGCCTGGTGTGTAAATACACGGCGAGGGTGATTTGACAGAGTGTCCGTGGTGCCTGCCTAACAATGAGGATAACAATAGGGGAGCAGCGCACCTCTCGAGGGAGGGCGCGAGCGAGGCAAGCTGGCGGCAAAAGAGGGGGCCAGGGCTTGCAGGGGACGAGGCTAGCACGCAGGGACGCGACGGGAGGCTCGGGGCGAGAGCAGTGAGCAAGGGGGCAACAAGAGAGGGATGAGATGGCGCTGCAAGCTGCTGGGGTGTCGCACGCAGCTGGGAGGGGCGGGAGGGGCGGTGGTCAGAGGCGGCCACGCAACAGCCGCCCTCCTGGATGTGTGCAGAGGCATAAATAGGGCCCTGGCTGTGGGTGGAGGAGTGGGGACGCAGCTACCACTTGCCCCAATCGTCCTCTTCGCCCCCTTGCTTGCCGGATGGCCCCGCCGCCGCCGCGTGCGAGGGCGACGCCACGCCCTCATCCCAGCCAGCCCACTGCGCCTCCCCCGCCGCCGCCGCCGCCGGCTGCTGCTGCTGCTGGCTGCGGGCGCCGCCGCCGCTGCTGGATGCCGGGCGGCCGTTGCTGCTGCTGCCGCCGCCGCCCCAGGAGCCCCACTCGTCTGCATACAGCCAACCACACAACACACCGCAGTCAGCAGAGTAACTCAATCGATGATGCAGGCCACTCCAAATCAGCAACAGGGCAGGCCCCGCCTCCCACCCCAGCCTGCCATGCCAGCACCAGGCGTCGCTCACCGTCGGCCGCCGCCGCCGGCTGCGTGCTGCGGAAGCCGCCGCCGCCGGTGCGGGCCCACTGCTCCTCCTCGGCGCCGCCGTTACGAGCCAGGTGGCCGGAGGGCGCCTCGTGGCCCTCCAGCTGGGCGTAGGGGCTGCCGCTGGCTCCCACCGTCGCCGCCACCTTCTTGCTGCCCAGGTCCACAGCGTATCCATTCTGCGCTCGGCGGCGGGAGGCAGAGGCAGAGGCAGGCAGCGCATCAGGCCCGCGGTTAGCAAGGACGCCCGCCCAGAGCGGCGCGCGCTGCGCGCCGGGCCGCGCAGCGCCGCGCGCAGCGCCTGCGCACCTGCCGCGCGAACAGGCGGGAGCAGAGCGCGCGGACAGCGGCGAGCCACG